TTGTAGAGATCAGGTCTCACCAAGTTGCCCAGGCGGGTCTCGAACCCGCGGGCTCAGGCAATCCACTCACCTCAGCCTCCCAAAGCGCTGGGATTACAGACAGAGCCACCGAACCCGGCTCATTGTCCCTATCTTGACGTTCCTGCCTCTTTTCTCCCTTGCTTTTACTGCAGTAACTCCCTTAATTGTTGTTGACTTCACTGCAGTTATTTGAAGGATGCTTTTGAAGGGAAGCCTGATGTGCTGCCCGTCTGGGCTTTGTACCTGTGACTGTGTGACTGCAGCCTGCTTCTTTTCCTCCTTTGTGAAGTCTAGGCATTGTAGGTCTCTATCACAATTAGGATAAGGGAAATGTCATCTCTAATCCATCCTCCCTTGGTTGTGGGATCTCCATAGCTCAGTACTCTCCAGTGTTATTTTCACATCTTAGCACACTACAGTTATTTTTTACAGAAAAGCCAGCAAAGAGTGAAGGTGACAGGCTCTGGGTGCTGGCCGCTTCAACGGCTGAGGGGATCATATCTGGGCACACCAGCTGGGAAACTGCTATCTCATCTGTCCTGTTTCTATAGGCTGCTTCTCCCTGTTCTTGGCTGCTATGTTAATTAAGACTCATTCTTTGATCCCTGCTCTTCAGAACCACCCTTGGGGAGTGCGTTCCTTGTCCTGCCACCTTTCACGTCTTTGTGGACGGTCTCCAAAGCTACCTGTGTCCTTTTCTCTGAGATCTGGTTCCCTGGCACTAGCTGCCAACTGAACATTTCTTATCTAACCTTCTCTCTCTGTTCCAGACCCCACATGACTGGACTCGGTACCTCTTCCCTCTGTTATGCCTTCTCCCCAGTTCCCTCCCCACACCTAACTTCTTTCTGTGTTCCCCTGCCTTCAGTCTCTCATTTGCTTTTGGTGTTTTTTTTTTTTTTTGAGTTGGAGTCTCATTCTTGTCACCCAGGCTGGAGGGCAGTGGCACACTCACGGCCGCCGCAACCTTGACCTGCTGGGCTTAGGTGGTACTTCCGCTGCAACCTTCCAAGTAGCTGGAACTACAGATGCACACCACCATACCTGGCTAGTTTTTGTGATTTATTGTAGAGACAAGGTCTCACCAAGTTGCTCAGGCTGGTCTCTAACCCTCAGACTCAGGCAGTCCCCTCACCTCAGCCTCCCAAAGTGCAGGGATTATAGGCTAAGCCACTGCGCCTGGCCAAGTCTCTCATTTGAAATGTTGACATAGTCTTTGATATTTTTCTCTCCATTTTCCATATTATTTGCCTGCCACATATGTTTACCAGTTGTGTAATTTTGGGCAAGTTACTTAACTACTTTGTGCCCGGTTTCCCCAACATAAACTGGACAATAATAGTAGCTGCTATTTGAAGAGCATGAGTTAATTTATTTTTAAAAAGAGCTAGAAGCCGGGCTCGGTGGCTCAGCCTGTAATCCCGCACCTTTGGGAGGCTGAGGTGAG